TGATGGAATCGCAATGTACACATAATAAGCTTTTCGGAAAGATATAAAGCATAAATATTGGTTGAAAACTTTCAGAGTTATTGCAAATTCCCCAGACCATTAACGTGTCTCACAGCACATGAATGTGACAAAAAAATTAACATTTTTTAGGAAATATTGTAAAAAAACATTTTGTTACTTAAAATATATCTATAATAACTAGAATGTTAGCTTTTGTCTTTATACGATAACGCAAACTTGTTCTCAGCTATGGTTAAAAAAGTTTGAATTTTTCAACGGCCGTTTCAAATCTCCAATTTCAGTTTTTTTGAAACTTTGTTAAACAAATTTTAAAATTTTTAGAAGATCTCATGGGGATTTATGGACAATAGATAAGGGAATAAAACGGTAAAAAAATTAGATCAATAATTCTTACAGTTTAGCTGTACCTGCGATTTGAACTCGGCGGATTTCGGGAAAATCGCATTTTTTTGTAATATATTAGAGAATACGTATTAATTTTTTACTGTTGTACATTTTAAACAAAGTATTTTCAGAGTATTATAGACCAGATAATATAAAATATATATTCCAAGTTTTATTCAAATCGGACATTCTTAACCCATAAAATGTGGAGTTCAAAGGTTAAATTTTGCTATATTTGGGAATTCTCAGTGCACCATATTAAAATATTATTTATTTGTTGGCCATATTTACCAAAAATTACTGGAATTTATCGTATAAAGTCCGATATTTAAAATAGAGTGAAAAAAAGGTAAATTAACACTTTAAGGCACTTGGGAACAATTTAACACCAAAGTTCAAAAATTTGAAAAGCACTATCCATTTGAATAAAGCTCTATATAATTAGAGAAATAGCAGAAATATAACAAAAACGTATATATTAAGTATAAAAAATTATACTTTAACCCTTTTCGACTATGGAGTAAACTATAGGTGTACATTTTTAAAAGAAAAATTTTGTTTTTAAAACTGATAATTTATGTAGTCCATTTTTTCGGACCATTTTCGACATAATATGTCTAAAAATACAAACTTTATAGGTTCAAAAAGGGTTAATTCATAAGTTTTTGTACCTAATATATATTTTTTTGTTTTATTTATGTTATTCCTCTAATTATATAGAGCATTATTCAAATGGATAGTGTTTTTACGATTTTTTGATCTTCGGGGTTAAATTTTTCCCATGTGTTTTAAAGGGTTAATTTTACTTTTTTTCGCTGCTATTTTAAACATAAGACTTTATACTAAAAATTCAAGTCATCTTTATTAAATATGACCGACAAATACATAATATTTCGATATGGTACACTGAGAATTCCCAAATATAGCAAAATTTGACCTTTGAACTCCACATTTTATGGGTTAAGGATGTCCAAATTGAATAAAACTTGGAATATATATTTTATATTATCTGGTCTATAATACTCTGAAAATACTTTGTTTAAAATGTACAACAGTAAAAAATTAATACGTATTCTCTAATATATTACAAAAAAATGCGATTTTCCCGAAATCCGCCGAGTTCAAATCGCAGGTACAGCTAAACTGTAAGAATTATTGATCTAATTTTTTTACCGTTTTATTCCCTTATCTATTGTCCATAAATCCCCATGAGATCTTCTAAAAATTTTAAAATTTGTTTAACAAAGTTTCAAAAAAACTGAAATTGGAGATTTGAAACGGCCGTTGAAAAAATCAAACTTTTTTGACCATAGCTGAGAACAAGTTTGCGTTATCGTATAAGGACAAAAGCTAGTATTCAAGTAATTTTTAGTATATTTTAAGTAACAAAATGGTTTTTTTACAATATGTCCAAAAAAATTTTAATTTTTTTGTCACATTTCGAATTCATGTGCTGTGAGACACGTTAATGGCCTGGGGAATTTGCAATAACTTTAAAAATTTTCAACCAATTTTTGTGTTTTATATCTTTCTGAAATGCTTATTCTGTGCACATTACGATTCCTTTACAATAAAGTGCAAAGTTTATTATTAAGTTGCAAAATTTGAGCAAAAACTGAAAAAAATCGATTTTTTCCCCTTGTAAATGCACTTGGAAACTTCTGAGCCGTTGCGGCACCTGTTAACGTTATCCTATCAGCCTAATTTTTTGCATGACATAGTTTTACAACCCATAGAACAATTCCAGAGGGGGGGACGGCCTGTCGGATAAAATTTTTTTTCCTTCATACAAGCTTGGAGCACTCTAATGTACATACATACGTATGTACTAAAAATTCAGTGAAAGTGTAAATGGAATTTTTTTGGTTGTGCCAAGATTTTTTTGTCTCAGTTACACTGGGTTTTTGTACGTTAAATTAAAAGTCATGTTTTTGGTAAGCTTACATTTTCTTCTATACATACTATGAATACAGTTCGACAATGGTGGCATGGGCTCATAAATATGTGTAAATTTACTTCATGATATTTTGCCAATTTTTTTTTTGTGGTTAACAGGTAATGTAAAAACAAGCGTGTAAGAGAAGCTTGGTTAGGTCGAAAGTAGTATATATCAGATACGAAAAATACACATTAGGTCTTTTGTGCTTTAATTTCTCATGGAAAATTTTAGTGTTTAAAACATTACAAAGTGATCTGTGATAGAAAATATCATCCAATGTTTAGAAACTTAGTTTTCTGGTTGTAGTTTCTTATAATTCCCCAATTTCAAAGTGATCTATGATAGAAAATATCATCCAATGTTTAGAAACTTAGTTTTCTGGTTGAATTTCCTTATAATTCCCCAATTTCCTGAATCTGGAATATTATCGATACTAAGATATATATTTTTATTAAAGCATAAAAATAACAGAGAAAGTGTTCAAACATTTTACTGTTTTCTTCACATAATCCCCCTTCGTTTAAATATGTTAGTCTAATTTTGTATAGTTGAGATTGTCCTTTTCTTTATAGCAAATACATATTGTTTCTTCCCCGCCGTTTATCCTTGAATGGCTTGGTAGCCATACCTTTGTATGATATACAACTTATCACACGAAGATTCCGTCATAACTCTTTTAGGGTCCAATACTACGGTATTTTATATTTAAACATTTTATTGTGATTGTGATTAAGTGTCGTGGTTTTATATATAGATCTCTGAACCCGTTACTCCTGTAGTTTATAGCCATTCGTACGATAAGGGATTGCCGCTGAAGTTTGTTCCATATTATACCCTACACCACTTTAGTGGGGAGGGTATATTGGGTTTGTGCTGATGTTTGTAACACACAATAATATTGCTCCTATACCCACCTTAAAGTATACCAATGATTCTCATTTTCTGAATAGATTTAGCTATGTCCGTCCGTCTGTCCGTCTGTCCGTCTGTCCATGTAAACCTTGTAATCAAACCTTGGCCCCGGAGACGAAGCCTGTTGAAAATGGTTAACATCGGTCCATTATTTCACCTAGCCCTAATACAACTTAACCGGACTAATAGGGCTTTTAAGTACATAATTATGTTTAATATACTCGTATCTCGACAAAAAGCTGCAAAACCAAGTTTAATACTAGCCTTGATAACCCTCATGCATTCTTAATTATAGGGTCTCATTTAACCATAGCCCCTATTCAAAGCCCCCTTCAAAATTCGACTTAAATGTCCACAATTTTATTCAACAATAAATGGCTCAAGTATATCTGAGGCAAGGTGCAATACAACTTAAATGCTTTATTATGAAAACTTAATCACATTTTTTTGTAACTGCTACCGTAGACGAAGCCTGTTGAAATTGGTTAACATCGGTCCTTTATTTCACCTAGCCCCCATACAACTGAACTGGACTAATAGGGCTTTTAAGTTCATAATTATGCTTAATATACTCGTATCTCGACAAAAAGCTGCAAAACCAAGTTTTATACTAGCCTTGATGACCCTCATGAATTTTTTAATTATAGGGTCTCATTTGACCATAGCCTCCTTCAAAATTCTACTTAAATGTCCACAATTTTATTCAACAATAAATCGCCTAAGTATATCTGAGGCAAGGTACAATTCAACTTAAATGCTTTATTATGAAAACTAAATGTAACAGGTGTAGGGTATTATATGGTCGGCCTCGCCCGACTATAATTTCTTACTTGTTTCTGTTGAGTACGATTTCCTATCTGTCAAATTTCGCGACAATTACTTTTTCCAGTAAACGAATGTCTAGACGGCAAATGTAAAAGTGTATGAAAAGAAAAACTAAAATGGATATGTGTAGGTAAAGCTGGCGTTACAAAAATCTGAATATATGCAATATACCCTCCTTACTATGTTATATATACTTGTTGAAAAATACTTTCTATTTTTCAGTGATTTCTCCCCTCGTCCATAAAACGTTGTGATAGTTTGCATTTTAGATGATGAATTATAATAACTTGAACACTTGTCACACTAGGGAACATTTGAAATGAAACGTTATTATAAAATTTCCCTAAAATCTGAAATCCCCCATTAAAATATTCGTTGATTTAAAATGGAAACACTAATATTGTTTTACCATATATTACTAACCTAAAATTTTCCTTTAAACTATTTAAGTTTTATCACGTTTTTTCATCATACTTTACCTAATTCCTAATTATTGCAACGATTTGCATTGTATATATGTAAATTGGGAATATGTTAAAAATATTCCCCCTTTTTTAACAAGGACATGTTGTGAATTTATAAATTCGAATAGAATTTTCTTCCACACTACAATATGTTTTCATATTTGAGGTAATGAATGTGGTTATATACTATGATATGGAAAGGTAGAGAGTCAGACATGGTAGAAAAGCTTTCAAATGAAATAAGTAGCTAAATGGAAAACTAAATGATATATAAATATATTCCTATTTTCATTTAAAAAAACACTACTTGCAACAAATATTATGTTTGCTTAAAACTTTTTGTGTAAATATTTACCAGACCTGTTTTCAAGTGTTTTGCAATTATGCTTTGCTTTAACTTGAATAACTTACAAAGGGCTAATTTTTCACGTAATTAGTTTTTCTTGCATACTTACCGTGATTTTTAAACGTGCTATTGGCGGTGATTCTAATGTTTCCAATATAGCTGTGGCACTATTGTAATTTCCAACCAACAAACAGTATTGTGCCACACCACTCCACAGTTCAACACATCTGCTGCGCTCTTGTATGCCACCACACTAAAGTAAAGAAAGGAAACAAATTGCAGGAAAACAATTAAAGGTATTGATTTGTGTAAATACATTTGTTTAAATGTATGTATGTAAATTTAAGCGAAATCATACATATTTAGGTATATATGTATATGTACCATGAATGTTTATATTCTAGATTTTTATTTAATACTTAGAAGTTCTGAAAGCTACGAATCTTCAAGAAATTTATCTTTATATTATATTCTAATTTAAAATGATTTTTTTTGCTATAAGTAAATTTTGAAATTATTTGAAATATTGAACTTAAGGACTATATCATTTCCATGAATAGTCTGTATGAACACAACAAAAAACATATTCATCTAGAATTTCCAAATAATACCTGTAACATATAATTTTGAAATGTAGTCAAGCTAAGAAAATAATTGAAATTCCATATTTACCAATATAAAGAAAGCATTGAGGCATATTAGTAAATGGTAAATAGAATTCAGTCATGTAAAAGACTTGTTAGAAACAACATTTAACTTGGTCTTGGGTTTGTGGTTAAAGAACTTTATGGAAGTTGCACATTACTATTATAAGCAGAATATGGAAATAGTAAAACTAATATACTGAAGTATATATGTATGTATGTGCATGGATATAGTGAGAAACAAATGTGATAGTGTATTTACAAAATATCAATATGGTCGTTTTTGGAATTCAAATGAAATTGTAATTACTTTTGCAATATTAAAATCTCGAAACGCGTGAAAGTGACGCTTTTGTATGTATTTAACAACATTTTTTGTGAGGGTACCGTATAACAAGGGACACAAATAATAGCTTTTAAACTAATGTTTTAATCGTGGTTGTCATAGAATCCAATCGTTCAATTACACAATGATACAACAAAAAAATGCAGGGGTTCTCATATACCAATTCCATTTCGTTATAGTCCATAGAGTAGGAATATATTTTTAATTTTTTCCGATCACTTCGTTTAGTTCCTTTTTAAGAGCAAAAGATGTGAAAAAGCGCTATTTTTGAAGTTTTAACTTTAAAAAAATATATGTTTGGTAGTTTGCAACCGATTTTCAAATTGGATATTTTGTTTTAAAGATACAAGTGTTGTCTTTCAACCCAAAAAAATAAATCCAAAATTTATGATTAATGTCTTGGTTACGGCCATTTAAGTAAAAAAACTCACACTTTTTTCAAAATTTTTAATTTTCATACTGCTTTACGTTGGCCATGAAGCAGTAACTTTAGCTTTTATTACATTTGAAAAAAGGCACATTAAGTTGGGTTTCCAATGATGGTCAATTTATAATAATCGATGAAAAAGGTTATGAGTTGTGCTAAGTTTTATAAAAATATTGCATATTTCTTCCATACAAAAATGTTCATGTTTCTGGTTTTCTTTGTAACAAGTTTAAAAAATGTTTATAAACATTTTTATACAAAAATTAATTTGTATGGAGAAAACCAAAAATTCGAGGAACATGCTATTAGAAAAATTAGCATAAATCATCCAGTTTTTCATAGATTTTTATGAAGTAACAAGTTTTAGAAACTTTCCTTTATGTGATTCTTCAAGAAAGTAATAAAAGATGAGCATGATGAAAATTTTTAAACAAGGTGTGAGTTTTTTTACTTAAACGACCGTAACTCAGACATTTGACCATAAATTTTGGATTTATGTTTTTGGATTAAAAGCCAACACTTGTATCATTAAAAAAAATATCGGATTTGAAAATCGGATGAAAACTACTAAACTTATGATTTTTCAAATTTAAAACTTCAAAAATGGCTCTTTTTCGCATCTTTTGCTCTTAAAAAGTAAGTTAACGAAGTGATAGGGGAAAACTAAAAATATATTCGTACTCTAATGACCATAACGAAATAGAATTGATTTATGAGAACGCCTGCATTTTATTTTTCTTCACTTTTGTATCACAGTGTTATTAGTTTAAGAAACGACAAAAATGCATTAGTTGCATATAATTCAAAGTTATCGATTTTATGTTCGATCTAACATAGAGGATAGGATCAACAAGGCACATCGGTGCTGGGCGATATGTAGGAGAACTAAAGGCATGAAATGAAGTCTTAGTCCTACTATGATAAATTGGCTTTATAAAAGCGTAATTAGACCAATTCTAGCTTATGCTTCAATAATCTGGTGGACTGCTTTAGACAAAAAGTGAAATATCAAACTACTACAGGGAGTTCAGCGTACATGCTGCTTGGGTATGTGTATGTAGTACACATGGGTGCCATGTGTACTACTTCAACCAAGGCTCTGGAAACGTTGCTAGATATTCCACACATTGAAACATATTTAAGATACGAGGCAGCGCTTACAGCCAAACACCTCTTTACTTTGGGCGAACTGACCAAAAGCGGTTATAGGACACGTCATCAATGTATACTGGACACATTGGAAGGTTATACACAATCATCGGACGTGCCTGATCGTATACCAGACACAGAAACTTTGAAACCCTGATCCCAGGTAGAATGTCTTGGTCAAGCGGAACATTAGAGCAAATACCATTAGGAATCCGTTGTTGGCTGAGTTTCTATATTGAAGACCCAGAAACAGAAATATACCACCGTTTACCAAATCATAACAAAAGCTTCCAGGCAGAAGTACAAGCAATAACGGAATGCGTAAATTGGATTAGAATAAATATGGCGCCCACAGCGCTTAATATATTTACCGACAGCCAGAAGGCAATTAGGGCGATATCAGGCGATAGAACTAAATCTAAGGGCGAATGTAATAGCTTTAAAGGGAAGGGAGCTCGAGGCAGTTAACCTGACAAACGCAAAACCATTCGACGCAACAGAAGCTGAACTAAAAATATGGTGAGAGAAAAATATGGTGGGTAGAACCACAATGATCCTATGGGGTAACCCTGATGAGAGCAAGACGAAAAATCTTCTCAAAATGAGCAAGTCTGAAGTTAGTATGATGGAGCACATCTCTGCAAAATTGGACGTGCGGATTCAGACGAATGTAGAGCATGTGGAGAGGACAGTGAAACTCTGGAGCACTTTCTTTGCCACTGCCAGGGATTCGTCGAAGTTAGAACCAAGTATCATGGAAGTGATGTTATTCCGGAAATAACATTCCTGACTAACACTGAATGGAAGATTCTTAGGAATTACGTTCAGGAAACTGAGTTTCTGAACACTGAAAAATAATTTTTTCAGTTCTTTTTTTTTTTCTTTTTTTTTTCATGATAAGGAGCGCACAACAGGCCCGATAGTGGCCTAGGTGTATTTCTTCGGATTTGATGTAGTATACATCCTCCTATCAACAAACAGTCGTAAAAATTATAAAAATAAAATTAAAAAAAAATTTAATTTCTTATTTTTACTAATTTTAGGATTCTCTGGTTATAACTTAACCAACTTAAATAAACATACATACATATTATTTGCTACACAAAATGAGTGGCTCATATCTTTGTGACTCATTGTTATACTCAAACGCTCAAAATGACTGTGCAACTTGGCAGTGTTAAGTACAGTTGATGACGCTACCATATTATCTTCGAATATTCGAAATTATGTTCGAAAATTAGAAATTATGTTCGAAAATTCGAAGTAATATTCGAAAAATCTGTGAATTGGTCGAACTTAAATTTTTTTTCTTTCGCTCGATTCACTCACTGTAAAGTACTTGACTTGAATCACACAAACACTCTCATTACTTGTATCGTTTGAACTGAGTATTGACTAACTGCCTTTACAGAAAATCCTAATATTCATAATAAGATTTTATTAATATAAAATATTACCCTGACTTTCATATACGATAATAGTTAAAATTTAGAAAAAAACACTAATGAAGGTGTACATTGCTGTAATCAATAACAAAAGAATCGATTCAAGTCCAAATATAATACTCTTGCTTTTGAAATATGGTACCTTCTAAGTTAATTAGCGATGGAAATGAACACAGAGAAATGTTATTATTTCTATAAAATGCTACTATCACCCTGACGTTCATATACGATAATGAAATTTAAGAAGACCATAGACTAGTCAATAGATTAGCTAATAAACCAATAAATAGGCTAATAGCCAAGCATTTGGACTAACCGAAAATGATAGTCAATTCCAGTCAATAGTAAATAGAACAGACTAGTCTATTGCACTTTTTTGTACTTTAAAAAACTCTGACACAAGGAAGTGCACTAAATGTTATCTAAAATAATAAAACTCTGTATTCAAATACGATTTAATTAATCGAGTTCAATGTACCACATTCATCAATTAATATTTAACATTTCATCGAAAAAGTCAATAAACTCTTTCGAAAAATGGCTCGTCCTCTCAATTAAATAATTGCAAAATATATGCATACATACGTACTATACATAGATCCAGACTATCATATAAAAACTTACAGCATCCATTTTCTTTATAAATAATTCATGTTGCTTGGTAATTTGTAAATCGTAACGGCAACAAATAGACACGTTTAGTCAACAATTTTAATAAAATAAACATGCAAAAATAACTTAGAGATTTTCTAACCAAATTTTTTTTTTTCCTGTACCGGAAATACACACATACATACATCTACCTGTTTTAGATAAATTTACGTGCCTGAAGGCAAAATATTTTCATGCAGCTAGTCATAACTGGACATGTGTTGACAAAGTTTTAGGTTTCTTTTCTACATGTTTTTTTCTTTCTGATAAATAATAAATGAAATGCCAACAAAAATGTTGCTGATGAGAATTCTTGATAAGTAAATTTTGTGATTTTTTAGAGTGACTAGCTTTTTTCTTTGTTGTTATTAAAGATATTAAAAGTAGTGATTTTGTAGTATTGAGTTTTCAAAGTTGGTAGAAGTGAATAAAGTTTTTACTACACACACTTTATTAGTTATTAAAATTCAATGACATACTAACATAAATGTCAGAGATTCAGTATACATTATGAATAAATTAACATAGTTGTAGGTTTATAGAGAAGTTGTACTTAGGAAGCTAGTAGAATTTTTGTGTTTTTTATAAATGTAAAATCGTAGACCGATATTGTCAATACCAAACAACATTCAGCTTTACATGTGGGATTCGAGATATCAAGTACTAAAGTTTGAAAAAATACCATTATTGGCTATTTTTGAGACGTTATAACAGCGTTAAGATAACTTTATGCATAAAGTGTTTTATGTCATCTGAAAGTCTATTCTGTCAGCTTTAAAATAAAGGGGTAATATCTGATATATCTTATTTTTTCTTCGAGATATCTTCACATAAAGCTTGATACAATATTTGTTCATATTTGTGGAAAATTTAAACAGATTTTATAAATCGTCTACGTCTATATGTAAATAGTGGGTATAAAAATCAGTATGCCTCAGCATTTGATGGTGGGAATAATAACACAGGCCGATAAAACTTGAAAAAAGTCGAAACCCTGAGAACAAGATATACTGTGGATTGAATCCGAATCTTACCTCAGATTTTTTTCATCTCATTTGGGATTTAAGATATCGCGTCCTGAAATTTGAAAAAAAACACAATTTTTGGCCCTATTAGAGACGTTATAACTGCGCCAAGGCAACTTTATGTATAAAATGCTGTATTTCATCTGGAAGTCCATTCTGTTAGCTTTAAAATATAAGCATATCTTCTTTAGCCTTCAAGATATCTTCACCTAAAGCTTGAAAAACCATGGTTTTCTGTATGTTCATGGTATTTATACCACGATTAAAATACAAGTATAAGAAAGAATTCAGTTTTTGTCAATTTATTCTTGTATCAAGCTTTATGTGAAGATATCTCGAAGAAGAAAGAAAATATGTCAGATGTTAAGCCTTTATTTTAATGCTGACAGAATAGACCTTTAGATACAACATTTTATGCATAAAGTTGTCTTGACGTTTCAAAAACAGCCAATAATAGTGTTTTTTCAAACTTCAGGACATGATATCTCCAATCCTACATGTGATGAATACGACAGATTCGAATTCTGAATAGCTCAAGTACACTTCGGTCTCTGGGTTAAAAATATGTCGGCCTGTGTAGTTGTTCATTTTAAGAGATACACCTTATATTATTTCTTCGAGTATGCGAAAAAGGATGTTGATAATTATCAACAAAAACTACATCTTTTTATATATAAGTATGTACATTTCTATATTAGATTGGCTCGCGGAAAATGCTATTTTGTATGGAAAAGATACAAAGATTAGTGTTTAAAAAAATAATTATAAAATTAGCCTGGAAAAAAATTAATTAAGTATGTAAAATATTTTAAACTGAATGAGAATTATATACCTAGTATATAATCATTCTACAAACAAAATTATTTTCATGAACCTGCCTAAGGTAGTAATGAACTGGTCATCATCTACAGCTGTTTTATTTGGTTAATGAATAATATTTACATTACGTTCTTTACACATGTTAATTTTCTTTTACATAACAAGATACGCTTTTCAAGGGATACAATTTATTTTCTTAATTTAGTTTGAGATTTTTTCTTCTCCTTTCTTGCATTTTTTCATTACTTTTTATAGCTTCATCATTTTTGCAAATTATGCTGTAGTTTGTTTTTTTCTTTTTGCTACATACACACATATTTACTCACCTGCAGTATTTCGTTGCATACAAATAAACGTAGACGTGCTGACCAATCTAGATATGTTTCCAAATTACATGTCTTTTTGGGATCTTGTACGCCTGGTGGTCCACCCGAGGATGATGGTTGGTCCCATTTTTTCTGTTTCAATAAAGAAAAATTTTTTAATAAACAAAAATTATTTTAAAAAGAAATACATATAAAACAAAATGCATAAATAACTTTTAATGACTTCTTTGTTTGAAAATTAAAAGAAGAATAAATATTGTCCATTTTAATTAAAATATTTTTATGTTATGAGCAAGAGTGTTTTATTTCTGCTGTTGTTATTTACTGGGGGGCTTAATGTGGAATATGAAATCATGAAAAAGTAATATTTAAATGTTGAATGTACTCATTTAAAAGCCATAATTACTGTGTTTATTTGGTCTTTATTGCTTTTGTAATGTTTGTAATTTAAAAGTATGTAGTTAATTTGTCAACTGTTTAACGAGATTTTGTTGTAGTATAACGGAATATTTGCGCATGTACTAGTTTACGCTACAGCCATAAAGAAATGTTATTGATATTTTTAAATGATAATGAATTGATCCCAATTATCATAAACTTAACAGATCTTTGTATAACAGGGAACTTCATAATTGCTACCTATATTTTAGCTGAATGTCCAATAATTTTGTATCTAAGGCTGTGGCCGACCATATGATACCCTACACCAAATACGAATATTAAATGTGATTTATTTTCCATAATAAAGCATTTATGTTGAAGTTTACCTTGGTTCCAAGATATTTAATAAATATATTGGCAAAAAACTTAAAGAAGCCATAAAACTTGGTGGATGGATTTGTATGAGAGCTAAGGCCAAATGAGGCTCAATTATTATGAAATTCTGCAAGGTCATCAAGGCTTGTATAAAATATAGTTGAGCTACTTTTTGGCGAGATAAAAATATATCTATTCAACATAATTGTGAGCTTAAAAGCCATTTACCGTGGGGGCTAGGTTAAATAATGCACCTATTTCAACCATTTTATAAAATTATATTGAAAATTGCTATCTGGAGCGTGAGGACAAGGTTTACTGGGACACAAAGCTTAATCGAATTAAAAAGTAATTCTGTGAATCTGTGAAGTAATTAGTGAATTGTGGACATTTAGTCATTGTCTGAAGGGGACTTTATATGGGCGCTATGGTCATATGAGAACCGATCACTACGAAAATTGGAAGTGTTGTTGAAGTAGTTATGAGCTAAAAGTCACAAATCGGAAGGTCCGGTTGTGTGGTTCTATGGCAAAAATTATGCCGATCCTTATAAAATTTATGTTTATGTGGAATTTATGTTTCTGTAAAAATTATTTGCGCCAAATTTCCTCGCTAGATGAAATAACGGACTGATTTCAAAAATTTCAATAGCTTTAGTCCGACAGACAGACAGACAGACGGACAGACGGATAGACGGATAGACGGACAGACAGACGGATAGACGGACAGACAGACGACAGGACGGACATAGCTTAATAGACTCAGCACAAACGCATAATATCTTTCTTACTGCAGTGGTGTAGGGTATAAAAATATGTCGGATGGGAAACCCCTATTGAAAAACATAAACTCATATGCTTCTTGCTTACGTCCGTGTAAAATTTTATCCTGATCGGAGCAAACGTTTACAAAATTTATTTCCAAAAATTTTCTCTTCTGGCCCACTGACAATAAAGTGATATTTTTGTAAATGCTCTACGTATTATTAAATGCATAATATTCTTTAACATTCTGAGAATTGAAAGTGGATAAGGTTAGTCGATTTAAATCAAATTTTAAATAAATTAAACTAGAAATAATAAATTATTCTTTGTATATCTGTTATTTGTTAAGCAGCACCTCACCTGCTTATCTAATAAAACATTACTACTGCACTGTACGAATTCCTCCGGTCCAATATGTTTGGCTAACTTTTTTTCTATGCGGCATAAAATTTGTGCATATTGTGTAGATGTAGGGCATTCAAATAGTTTGGCATCACACTATAATGAGAATACCAAATGTTATTAGTGTTTTCAACAGTCCTAACCGTAAATGTAATTATATAACAATCAACAATAATTTACAAAATTTCAATTTACCTTTTCCGTTGATGTGGCTGCTGCCGCTGATGTTGCTATTGTGGCTGTTGCTGCTACATTATTTGATGTTTGACAGGAGCGTAATTCTTCTTCGTGTCTTTCCAAATCAGTCAAACGTTTTAACAAGGCACTCAATATTTCCGAAACAATGGCTTCTAAACGTGTATTGGAACATCTGTGTGTGACAGTTAAATTATAATCAAACAAAATGTTACTATTACAATGGTTGAAAATCTTAAATAATAGATTCTAAGAAAATAAGTATAAAGAAAATTTAATCAAAACTGTTTATACTTTCATACTAAAATGCACAAATATGTCTGAATACGGACACCATGAACACACACCATTAATGTTAGTGATTATCCCAGCAAAATCTTTCTTAACAGAGTAATGAATTGCTCATTTCTAAAGCATCAGCTTAAGATTGTGATACTATGCTATGCTATATACGTGTAGCGAATATAGTAATGGATTGATCATAAGGACTTTTGAAATGTATCACAATTGTTCAGAATATTTTTGAATGTGACAGAATAAGTATAAATCCCACCCCGTATGAAATTATATCCTATATATTACAAGATATATACAATAAACAGTAATAATTGTATAATTTTTAATCTTCTTATGTATTTGTTAAATGTACATATTTATAGGTGCTTACTCACCTGGCAACGATATGTTTAACATGGCTCATCATTCGTTCATCGCGATAATCATAGGGAAACTTATTTGTCCATTCAGCTAATAATGCTACCAATGATTCTAATGATTCACTATCAGGTACTGAGGATAATAGTTTACCCAACAATTCATGGGGTCGTAAATATAAACGTGATGATAGTAAAAATGAAAAAATAAATTCCTAGAAAACGAAAGAATAAGAAAAATGTTAATATGTTAAATTAATTAGTCTATATTGAGTAAATAAATGTTATATTTATGTGAGTTCGTGGTAATTGCTTTATTTATTCTATGAAAATATATACATACATATGTTTATACTTAATTATGTCTGGTGAATCTAAAAAGTAAGCAAAAATTGTAGTAGACTCAAAATATATGCAATTAAGTATATACCACCATTAAAACATATCTATGTATTTGTGACTAATCCTTTCGAAATGAATTTGTGTATTTGTAGATTAGGTCGGTCTTGTAGTAAATGAGCGATATATTGATTATTATATCATATATTCGATTCTTGTAAGAGACCCTACTATGGACCCCAATTATATAACGAACTCTATGAAATTAAAGTGTTTTTATAAAAAATCTTGTTTGCCTTGTTAGTTAGTTAGTTAGTTAGTTAGTTAGTTAGTTAGTTAGTTAGTTAGTTAGTTAGTTAGGTTAGTTAGTAGTTAGTTAGGTAGGTAGTTAGTTAGGTAGTTAGTTAGTTAGTTAGTTAGTAGTTAGTTAGTTAGTAGTTAGTTAGTTAGTAGTTAGTTAGTTAGTAGTTAGTAGTTAGTTAGTTAGTTAGTTAGTTAGTTAGTTAGTTAGTAGTTAGTTAGTAGTTAGTTAGTTAGTTAGTTAGTTAGTTAGTTAGTTAGTTAGTTAGTTAGTAGTTAGTTAGTTAGTTAGTTAGTAGTTAGTTAGTTAGTTAGTTAGTTAGTAGTTAGTTAGTAGTTAGTTAGTAGTTAGTTAGTAGTTAGTTAGTTAGTTAGTTAGTTAGTTAGGTTAGTTAGTTAGTTAGTTGTTAGTAGTTAGTTAGTTAGTTAGTAGTTCGTTAGTTAGTTAGTTAGTTAGTTAGTTAGTTAGTTAGTTAGTTAGTTAGTTAGTTAGTTAGTAGTTAGTTAGTTAGTTAGTTAGTTAGTTAGTTAGTTAGTTAGTTAGTTAGTTAGTTAGTTAGTTAGTTAGTTAGTTAGTTAGTTAGTTAGTTAGTTAGTTAGTTAGTTAGTTAGTTAGTTAGTTAGTTAGTTAGTTAGTTAGTTAGTTAGTTAGTTAGTTAGTTAGTTAGTTAGTTAGTTAGTTAGTTAGTTAGTTAGTTAGTTAGTTAGTTAGTTAGTTAGTTAGTTAGTTAGTTAGTTAGTTAGTTAGTTAGTTAGTTAGTTAGTTAGTTAGTTAGTAGTTAGTTAGTTAGTTAGTTAGTTAGTTAGTTAGTTAGTTAGTTAGTTAGTTAGTTAGTTAGTTAGTTAGTTAGTTAGTTAGTAGTTAGTTAGTTAGTTAGTTAGTTAGTTAGTTAGTTAGTTAGTTAGTTAGTTAGTTAGTTAGTTAGTTAGTTAGTTAGTTAGTTAGTTAGTTAGTTAGTTAGTTAGTTAGTTAGTTAGTTAGTTAGTTAGTTAGTTAGTTAGTAGTAGTTAGTTAGTTAGTAGTTAGTTAGTTAGTTAGTAGTTAGTTAGTTAGTTAGTTAGTTAGTTAGTTAGTTAGTTAGTAGTTAGTTAGTTAGTTAGTTAGTTAGTTAGTTAGTTAGTTAGTTAGTTAGTTAGTTAGTTAGTTAGTTAGTAGTTAGTTAGTTAGTTAGTTAGTTAGTAGTTAGTTAGTTAGTTAGTTAGTTAGTTAGTTAGTTAGTTAGTTAGTAGCTAGTTAGTTAGTTAGTTAGTATTTTATAATATTTTCAAATCTTTATATTTTCAACTCCGATACAAATCGTATCACATCTTTACTTTCCAATCTTAGTCCTACACCAACGTTCATTTAGCTGACTAAAATTCCCTCGATTTCTTATTTTCCTGGGTTAATATGGCTTTATGAGCCATGGCCTAATATAACTACTCATAAAGTAGCAAATTAATTATTAACATGATTACACTCTGGTTAAATATGTTCTGCTTAATACTCAGCATCGTTGTAAGTAAAATAAGATTATTAAAACAAAATGTTAGGAAAATATATTTAAATGGGCCATTAAGTTAGTCTGTATTATTGTAAGTATAGTTGTATTATGCCTTAAAGTATATGTTCATCAAATTACTGAATACACTCTGAATACGTGTATGTATGTAGTTTTCAACACTTCTTTCTAATTTTTTTTATGTAGCCAATTTATTTTAGGTTAAGTATCACTATGCAGGATTTCCCCTTTTATTTTGTGAATGTGTGAATCTGACTATTACTCACACCATAGCTTTATGGAAAAAAAAGTGAAAAGATCTTTGGCATTGGTTGGTCTTTGGTTTTTTCCTTTTTTTTCTATTTTGGCAAGAGTTCATATACTTAGTAAATTATTTTCTTTAGTACTTGTCCTTAGTAAAATATTCAACTAATTTATGTTTTTTTATAATTTTTTTTTTCTGGCCTTTTAGGTTTTCATAGTTTTCTGTTTTGCCTTTTATGGGTGTTTGTGGTAATGCTTTAGAATTTTATCTCCGTTTTAACACAATTACCCATAAAAATGTTTCCGTTTTTTGGTTGGTTTGTTTGTGCATGCTTCATTTTTATGCATATTTTATGGTTACTAGATTTTGTTTCTTTGTGGTTAGAAATTCTTAATTAAAAATTACAACTGTAATTTTTAAATAAATACATAAATGATTTCATTTACATATATAAATGTTGAGAATAATTTTTTGGTAAAAGTTTTGTTTTTAGTAATAAAGTGTATTAAATATGTATAATACTTTTGCGTGTGAGAGATATTTTTTTGGTAATATGTAAATATTTATATTTACACTTAAAAATCTCCGAAATTTTATTGTTGATGCAAAATATTTTAATATTAGAAAAAAGGTTAATACTTTTTTATTAAAATTTTTTCAGTGTTTAAACGTTGCTTAATGAGGTACATGAACAAATCAAGGTTTGATAATAACAAAATTAGATTTTCGATTTCCCGCCTTGGAATATGTGGTCCTTACTGTTTAATGAAACTACTTAATAAATACAATAAAAAATTTTAAAATTATTTCCTGTTAACAAAAGTAATTATTTTCCGCCTTTGGAAAGGGCCAGAAGCTAGTTTTTAATGAAGCTACAGTATATCAATAGATTATTATTGGCTATAAATTTATAAATTTTAACAAAGTGAATGTTTTATTATGTCGCTTTAATTCGCTGCTGCAGGCAAGTGATGTTTTAACACGCTTTATGTATTATATCTCTCATATATTTTTATGCCCCTAAATTATATGTTTTTTTTTATTCTTTGAAGTGTAAACATCAAAATAATACATCCACTCAACATATTTATATCCCTAGGGAAACAACAATATTGTTACAAATTTTTAATTAAAATTTTATGTAAATTAAAGGAAGTATTATATTATGCATTTCCTTAAAAAAATAAAATTAAATAAATATAATAAATGTAAAGTATTTATACCCTACACCACTTTAGTGGAGAGGGTATATTGGATTTGTGCTGATGTTTGTAACGCACAATAATATTGGTCCTATCATTTTCTGAGTCGATTTAGCTATGTCCGTCCGTCTGTCCGTCCGTCCATGTAAACCTTGTAATCAAACTACAGGTCGCAATTTTGAAGATAATTCAATGGTACATGATCTTCTATTGTCCCAGGGACGATGCCTATTGAAAATGATTAAGATCGGTCCATTATTTCACCTAGCCCCCATACAACTGAACCCCAAAATAGGTCTTGTTATCCTTGTAATCAAACTACAGGTCGCAATTTTGGAGATAATTGAATGAAATTTTGCACATGATGTTTTATGGTACCGTATATGAAGCCTGTTGAAATTGGTTTACATCGGTCCATTATTTCACCTAGCCCCCATACAACTGAACCCGCCGAATAGGGCTTTTAAGTTCATAATTATGTTTAATATACTCATATCTTTACAAAAAGCAGCAATAACCAAGTTATATACAAGACCTGACGACCCCCATGAATTCCATAATAATAGGTTCTCATATGACCCTAGCCCCTATGAAAAGCCCCCATCAAAATTTCACTTAAATGTCCACAATTTTATTCAACAATAAACGGCTTAAGTATGTATATCTAAGGCAAGGTACAATTCAACTTAAATGCTTTATTATGGCAACTAAATCACATTATATTTTTGTCAAAGGTGTAGGGTATTATATGGTCGGCCTCGCCTGACTATAATTTCTTACTTGTTTTATTTGTATTTTATCATACAATTAAATTAAACGCGGGTTTAAAGGCAAATAATATAGAAGTTCATTAGTAAATGATATGTAGAAGTAGGAATGGTAGAAGTTAATTACACGTATACCATAATTTGCCAGATTTTTAATTATAATAAAAAGAGGTTATGGAATATATATAAAAAGAAACAGAAAATAATGAATATGTATATTGATAAAGGTTATTTATTTGAATATCTTTCTTCTTATAGCAGATGTAGGGTCAAACATGTCCGATTGTATTTTCTATCTTATTTTTTTACAAAGTTCAATGACCAAAAATAACAAGGCAACAAAATTTTTTTTTCTAACTTTATACAAGTTTAACTTTGCGTTTAACATTCCCATAAAGTTTAACGAAAAAGTTTTTTTTTATTTGAATTCAAACTTTACTGCTTTACTATATTTTTGCAAATTTAGCATATAAAGTTAAAACTATTTCCGCTTTTTCAACTTTTTTTTCCAAGTGCCAGACAATTAAAAAATTCCAGTAAAATTTATATCAAATTTGCTGAACATATGTACGTATGAGTAATTTTATAAAAAGTTTATTGGCAAATAAATATCAATCATACGTTCTGTTCATATAGAGTTTAAAGGGAAATTCATAAAAAAGTAAAAATATGTTTTTTGTTAATAAATTTATTCAAAATGTAATGAAAAAGTAAATGAATTTTTTTGTTAAATTATAGTAGTAATGCGGAAATTTTAATTGGTTTAATAAAAAAACCTTTAAAAAATATATGCATATAGTTATAGTACAATATTATGAAAATAGTAGCAATATACTTTCAATAAATATTGTATACATACTCTTAATTGTTATACAAACGTACACTAAGTTTAAATGGAAAAAACTTTTCCCAAAATACCTATGTGTGTGTATCGTAAATTGAATATTCTGTAAAATATTTATAACTAATATATATTCGTACCTTATCCAAATCTATTATATTTTTTGGCACTAAAACATCAACTAGAGATTCCAATGGGCCAGAAACTATTCTACCATTTATATACATTATTCCACCGGAACCCAGTACAGAACTCTGAAAAGATATATAAAAAATTTCTTTATATTTTAAAGTAAATACATAGGATTTTATTAACGGGTTATAAGGGGATTGAAATGGGGACAATAAATAAGATATAAATTTCTGATATATGATTTTTTTTAAATTTTTTGAAAGGATCATATCGCTCAATTAAACGATCATAATGATTTACACATTTTTAGCCGATTTGTATGACGAGAACAAAATTATAACAATGAGGAAAAAAACCTTTGTGATTTTTACCTTTAACGTTTGTGGTGTATATAGTACATATAGGTTTGTTATTCTATTTGTAATTTTCCGACCCTATAAAATATGTAGATATAGCGATGTTTATTTCCGTCTGTCTCTCTCTGTATGATAGTTGAAATTAATTTTCCAGTACACCAATATTTCCGAGATTCAAATAAAGCAAGTAAGTAGTGATTTTATTGTCACATATATCATCGATACTTTATAATAATCAATGTGGGCTTGGATAAATTATTGGCCGAGATCTTCCAATTTAAAATATTAATATGAATCGATCCTTTCCTTATTTGTACCCACAATTTACTTATTTATTAAATTTATTTTAAATTTTATTGTCATCTTTAAGCAGATTTTTGATTGATTTTTGTACCCCTCACCTTCGTGAGATATACATATACCAACTTTTTTAGTTAAGTTTGCTTTCAAGTATCTGTCTGTCCGTATGTATGAATGCAAAAGCTCAGCCAGTGGTTGGTCTTTTTCAACCACTGGGTGAGCTTTTGCAACGACTCACACCGCTATTGTGTTTCTTATGGAAGTTCCGGTCCAGTACACATGTACTTTGCTCAAGTTATTTAGTTAGTTATTTTGAAAGGGGGATGTATATATACATTGTATATACATCAAATCTGAAGAAATACACCTAGGCCTCTATCGGGCCTGTTGTGCGCTCCTTAACCAGTGCCTCAGGTAGGAATCGAACCCACCACCTCCGGTCTAACAGACTAGAACACTAACCACTAACCTACCGGAGGCCACACTTTTTTTGCTGAAGTACTCGAGCTATCTAATCTCTTGCCATAGTAGTCCCGTTGGGGAAGTACAGGTGTCATGAGCAAGCTCAATCTAACCCCGACAAAGGAAAACCTTATATGTCTCCCAACCACACTGAGATGGCTCTGTTGATTCAGCAACAGCACCTAGGGGACACACATTTTAATTGACAAGACTTATTTCAGTGGCCTCAAAAACCCACTATCAAAGGTTGAGCATGTTTTAGAGTGAATTCTAACACACTAAATCATGAAGGAAAATCGCTGATAAATTAAATCGCCCCACTCCGTTTTGCCAAACCTCAGTTGAGCACATCTCTCCCGCCGCTCCAACCGGGATTGCAATACACCAAGATGCGGGTCGTACATCAAGGAAACATGCACCGGGGGTTGTCCGAATATTCAATAATTAAATAATTCATCGAATAGAACGCTATTTAAAATCAGAAAATTCGGTCCATTTTTCAAAAGGTACTTTTTTAATTTTCAATAATATTGAACCTAGAAATATGAAATAAAAATGTAGAACCCGGATTAAGTGAGAACCTATAAAAGGGGACTTTTTGGTACTTTTTCGTTCTTCAAAAAATACTTTTTGAATTTACTACCATATTAAACATATAGACATAAAATTAAATGAGCGATAACATATAAAAGGGGACTTTTTAGTACTTTTTCCTTCTTCATGAACCTAGAAACATAAAATTAAATATTAAGAGTCTTAAGTTAGAGAAAATCTGCAGGAAAGGATTTTTGGTACTATTTCGTTCTATGACTGGTACTTTTTGGCTTTTATGCACCCTGGTTTGAAATCTTTAAAATTAGACATTCTGGTACCTTTTCGTTTTAGGACTGGTATTTTTTGATTTTTTATTATAAAATTACATGGGGGTAGGGACAAACGGACAGACAGACGGATTAGACAGTGTTAGAATCCAGTAAGCACCCATAATATAAGTAAGAAATGATCAAATCTCTGAAAAAAACCATGAAAATATATAAAAAAAATTAGAACTCAACCACAAAATAAATTTGTTATGTTATATGTTGCTGTATTTGTATATTTTTTATGAGAACTAAATAAAGCAGGCATAGCACGTAACATATAAAGCTACTAAAGTTAACAAACTCCTCGAAAAAGGATCTTTAGAAATATTCTTTGATACAGCTATTGAAATATTGATAAAAAGACAAACAAGAATCATATTATTAGATTGAATTAAAATGTAATTTTATTTGGAAATAACATTAAGTTATCTTTCTAGAACCACCCTAATGTACATATACAAATGTTTTATGGAAGAAGTATATGCATGTATATGACAGTTGACTGATTATGTGGTGTTTTAATTAAATTAAATCACAGTATTAACTGTATGAGTATAACATATGTATACTCATACAGCTAAAACATGTTCTTTTATTTAATCATATTTTTCCCACATTGTAACAGTGGTAAATATGTTAAAATAAAATATGTTATTTGTGCACAACCGTGCTCCTATGCATATGAAGGTAGTAAAAAGTTTGTAAAAACAAGTTAGAGTGCTATATTCGGCTGAGCCGAATCTTAAATACCCTCCACCAGCAACTTTTGTATTAATTAATAAAATATTTGTAGAAATAAGTTTTCTCATGTCTTAAATAGAAAAATCCCAAGATTTAAACAGCTTAAATCTACTACAATTCCAAGATTTATTGAACATTAGAAACGCCACTTTCTTTTAAATTTTTATAGCGCCCTAAGATATGCCTTAGCGATATTTAGTATTTACATGTATGCATGTGTGTGAAAGATTTAAGGATTTTCAAAATACATACATATATAATTTTGTTCTACACAAATTGATAATGCAAATAGTTAAATACGGTTAAAGCGCTTTTAGGGACAGGACCTAGTATGAGAGATATGACCAAATATAGACCGATCGTAAAAAATTCTTTAAGCAAAATTTCTGTACATAAAAACTATATTTCAGTAAAATTTTGTATCTATATCGTAATTTAGTAATAAGTAATGTGCGTTTTAGTCAATTTCTGAAGGGAACCTTGTATGGAACCCACCGCACCCATGTTATGAACCTATCGAGAAAAAATCTTGAAATATAATTTTTGTATACAAAACTATTATTTGTGCCAAATGTTGTATCAATGGCTTTATTTGGTAATGAGAAATGTGCCTTTAGGAGCTTTTCATAAAAGGACCTTGTATGGGAGCTATGACCAATTAAGTATATAAAGACAAAATTTCAAAATTTTGTATTTATATCATGAATATTGTGCATTTAAGCGATTTTCTGGAGGGGATCTAGTATGAGAGTTATGACCAAATATGGACCGATCGTAAAACAATTTTATAGTTTAATTTATGTATATAAGAGCAATATTTTTGCTAAATGTATGGATATCAAGATTTGGTAATGAGTTATGTGCGTTTAAGTCATTTTCGGGAAGGAACCTTGTATGGGAGCTATGACCAAGGATGAACCGATTGTGAAAAAATTTTGAAATGACATTAAGGGTTTTTGCATTGCAAAATAGTATTTATGAACAAAAATAGTATTTATTAATATCATTTTTTGGTAATGAGTTATGTGCCTTTAAGTGTTTTTCTGAAAGGGACCTTGTATGGGAGCTATGATCAATTATGGATCGATAGGAAAACAACTTCAGAGTAATATTTCTCTGTATATGAGCAATATTTCTGCCAAACTTTATATGGATATCTTAATTTAGTAATTAGTTATACGCGTTTAAGTGATTTTCGGGAAGGGACCTTGTATGGGAGCTATGACCAGTTATGGACCGATCGGAAAAAAATTTTATCTGTAATATTTCTGTACATATCAGTAATATTTGAACCAAATTTTATATGGGTATCTTAATTAAGTAATGAGTTATACGCGTTTAAGTGATTTTCGGGAGGTGAACTTGTATGGGAGCTATGACCAATTATGGACCGATCGGAAAAAACTTTCACAGTAATATTTCTATGCATATGGGCAATACTTATACCAAATTTTGTATGGATATCTTAATTTAGTAATGAATTATGCGCGTTTAAGTGATTTTCGGGAGGGGACCTTGTATGGGAGCTATGACCAATTAGGGACCGATCGAAAAAAAAATGTCACAGTAATATTTCTGTGAATATGAGTAATACTTGTGCCAAATTTTATATTGATATCTTAATTTAGTAATGAGTTATGCGCGTTTAAGTGATTTTCGGGAGGGGACCTTGTATGGGAGCTATGATCAATTATAGACCGATGGGAAAAAAAATAAAATATTTCTATGCATATGGGCAATACTTATACCAAATTTTATATGGATATCTTCATTTAGTAATGAGTTATGCGCGTTTAAGTGATTTTTGGGAGGGGACCTTGTATGGGAGCTATGACCAATTATCGACCGATCGGAAAAAAATTTCACAGTAATATTTCTATGCATATAACCAATACTTATACCAAATTTTATATGGATATCTTAATTCAGTAATGAGTTTTGCGCGTTTAAGTGATTTTCGGGAGGGGGCCTTGTATGGGAGCTATGACCAATTATGGACCGATCGAAAAAAAATTTCACAGTAAAATTTCTGTGCATACGAGTAATACTTGCACCAAATTTTATATGGATATCTTAATTTAGAAATGAGTTATGCGTGTTTAACTAATTTTCGGGAGGGGACCTTGTATGGGAGCTATGACCAATTATGGACCGATCGGAAAAAAATTTCACAGTAATATTTCTATGCATATGGGCAATACTTATACCAAATTTTATTTGGATATCTTAATTCAGTAATGAGTTATGCGCGTTTAAGTGATTTTCGGGAGGGGACCTTGTATGGGAGCTATGTCCAATTATGGAGCGATCCATAAAATTTTTCCTCTGAAAGAATTCTATTGATATAAGATTTTAATTTGTAAAATTTTGTGAAGATATCGGCATTGTGGCGGAAGTTATTAACAAAAAACCAATTTTCCGGGAATATGTACTTTTGTATGGGAGGTATATGAAATTGTGGACCGATTCTGGTAATTTTCAGCAGGCATCAAGATCTTGTGCAGAAACGAATGTATGGTGATTTCCATGGAATTATCTTGCATAGTTTTCGAGAAAACTACATCAGAATGTGTAAAAAATGCTTATTTTTTTCCGAGGTTGTTTTAAATTTTGATTCATAACTTTTCCCGGTGTGAACCGATTTTGCCCATTTGCAATACCAAACAACTTAGGAAAATGAAGAACATTTTGGGTGAATTTGGTTAAGCTCTATTGCTTCGTTTTATCGTGAGCGTGTTTTACACAGACAGACGGACAGACGGACAGACGGACAGACGGACATAGCTAAATCGACTCAGAATTTGATAAGGACCCAGAATATATATACTTTGTTGGGTCTCAGATGAATATTTCTTGGTGTTACACACGGAATGACAAAGTTATATATACCCTCTATCACCACTGATGGTGGTGGAGGGTATAAAAATGTGTGTGACATTTTTTTATATTTCACACTTTAACACTTAATTTTGAGTGATACATATTATTTAATAAGTTGGATAAGTTTTACTTTGTTGGCGTTAATTCGCTTTATACGACAAACGGAAACAATGAAAATAAAGAATTTTAAGAGTTAATAAAAAAATATTATGAAATTTTAATATTTTTCATAAACCATATTTAGTTGATGAAGAAAATACCTTAGTCAAAATACAGTAGAAATATTTACCACAACCGTCCTAAAGTTTACTTTAGATATACATTTTCAGTTGTTGTATTTATCATTTACTTAGGCTTTCCCAACTACACTTTCGTACTTGTTGTATACGTATTTAAATTATAGAAACCTACCTCAAAATTGACATCACATTGACTACGTTTGTGTGTATTCTTGGGTACATCATACTGTACTAAATCATTATTGGCCAGATTTGTGTAACCCAAACCGTAACCGTTGATAGAATTTTTAGTTGTGTTTGTAGAGGAAACCTACAAGAAAGAAGAAGAAACAATTTGTTTTATATGTAAAAAATTATTATAAATATTTATACTAACGACTTAATTTCTATGGACTAAAAACATTTTTAAATTTATATAAATTTGTTAAACATATAGTTTAGGTTTTATTCACCCTCAAAAAATATGGTGGTACATTGATTTTGTCATTCCATTTGTAACACGGAAATTTATAGTTTCTGGCTGCTTATGAGATTCTAAGATGATCTAGCCATGTCCGTCTGTCTATCTATTGAAGGCATGATAATCTTGATAACATTTATTTAATTATAATAAATTAATTAGTCTTTCTAATCTCTTGCCATAGTAGTCCAGTTGAGGAAGAACAGGTGTCATGACCAAGCTCAATCTAAACCCGACAAAGGAAAAACCTTATATGTCGCTCAACCACATTCTGAGATGGCTCTGTTGATTTGGCAACAGCATCTAGGGGAAGTAATTGGTAGTCCGAAACACGGATCATTTTAAATGACAAGCTTTATTTCAGGGGCCACAAAGACCCACTGTGATAAGTTGAGCATGTTTTAGAGTAAACTTTAATACACTCAACCATGAAGGAAAATCTCCGATAAATTAAAGAAAGGGCAGTGATGACCTTACACCACAATTCTGCCTCATGTCTTGCTAAGCCACCAATCACTCCATCCGTCAAATCCATCAATTACTCCATTCGCTCTATCGAATCAGAGTACACATCAGAAATCACCAGAAAAAGTCCACTTCGAATACCCAATCTTTGCATTATCAGCAATCACTCCATCCGTCAAATCCATCAATTACTCCATTCGCTCTATCGAATCAGAGTACACATCAGAAATCACCAGAAAAAGTCCACTTCGAATACCCAATCTTTGCATTATCAGCTCAAATCCATCATTTTATTAATCCACTGTCATGCTCTGTAGTTTGTACCGCTCCTAGCATCTAGGAACGATAGCAGAAATTCATCATGAAAACTATTTTTCACCGTGTATCAGTCTTTTTACAAAGCACCCCCTTACTGCGATTTAGGTTTCAACCACAGCCACTACGTGGATCCCAAAGGAACTCAATCAACTGACCAGCCAGGAAAAGTCCGGTGAGCAACTGGCCACCAGTAGTACTAGATTATGTGCTGCTCTGGCTAGACCTCTTTTCAATTCATGCAAGGACTAGGCCAGGCAATGAATTGTAAACACCAGTTTATAATCCCAGCAGACTAGAGGTATTGAAATTTTGCTTAAATATTGTCTATTGATAAGGTTTTTAGGTATTGAAAATAAGATATATCGGTTCACGTTTTCGGATAGACCCCATACAAGTGGACCAAAAAACAGCTTTAACAGGCATAACTGTTTTAGAAGTACGAGTATAGCGATGAAATTCGACACAAATAAATTTCATATAAGCCAAAATCTCACCACTAAATCTCTCTATCAAATGTAGTAAGGATCGGTCCATAATTGACCCTACCGCCCTTACAAGGTCCTCTTCAGAAATTTACTTTAACGCTCATTAATGGTTAAAAAATACGACACAAGCTGTATGTGGATCGGTCAATAATTAACCCTACCCACATATAAGGTCCCCTTCAAAAAATTACTTAAACGATCATTGCTGGCTTAAATATGCGAGTTAAGAAATACGGTTATGAAATTCGACGTAAGAAACTTTTATACGAACGTTAATCTTGTTACCGAATTTCATGCGGAAAGTGTCGGTAACTCACCCTACCCCCATATAAGTTCCCTTTAGGGAACTGGCATAAAAATGCGAGTATAGCGAAGATATTGAATGTAAACAGGTTTTATATGAACCAAAATCGGTCTACAAAAAGTTATGAGGATAGGTCAATAATTGACCCCACCCCTCATATAAGGTCCTCTTCAGAAAATTTGATGAGGAGGATTCAGAAAATTACGAGTACAGCGATGAAAATCGACATAAAAAGTTTATACTTACTTAAGAACATAATTCTTCATTCCAAATTTAATGAGGAATGATCTCTAACTGACCTTATAAAAGGTTCCCTTTAGGAAAGGGTTTTGCTTATTTAAATTCTATACAAACAAACACAAAATTTTATGAGTATCGGTTCATAATTGATGCATATCAGAAAATTACTCATACGCTCACGGTTTAAAAATTGAAATAAATATTTTGTTTTTAAAAATTAATATTTTGTTAGTTCAAAAGAGTTCGGTTTACAATTGACTTAATCCATATTCCAAATATTACCCTGATGTTTATAGGGGGCATTCCTTTTACGGCATACGGTTCGGCGTATCTCATATACCCACTAGCCGATTGTAACTCTTTCACTTGTTAATTATCAGACGCCTTGATGGTGGGTATATAAAATTCGGAATAGACGAATATAACATTTTTGTTTGTTTAATCTAAATTTTACAGCCAACATAATACATACATACACAAGCATAAAATTAAATTATTTTTCCTAACGCTACTACTGGCAAGAGTGCATAACTTTGTCATGAATTGAAATCTAAGAGCAGATGTAGTGTGGTAGTAAAAGAATTTCAAAAATAAAAGAAAAATACAGTTTGTGGCTTTGTCATCAACTACATGTTCTTGTAAATTGGCCTGTCTTCTTATCTTTATAACATTCATTTATTTCTATCTTTTCATATAGTATATGTATGTATTTTCGTTTGTGTAAGCACAGCTAAATGAATTTTACAGTTTCATCTTAAGAAGATTTCTTCTGCTATTATATACATACATTCATATGTATACTCCCAGTATAGCTAAAACTACTCTTTATATTACCAAAAACTATGCTGGAATACTAGTTATGGTTTAACTCTTTATGTATGTAGGTATGTAAACCATTTTATATATATAGTGGTTGTGCTACTAGTATGAACAGTTGCAATCATGTCCTTTACATGCTAAAAGCCATTACACAATGAAAATTTCCATTTCCGTATTTGTTGTTATAGAAAAGGAAGTAAAATTGTTATTAAAAATCTACTCTATTTGAAAATTTTGTATGAGAGAGGACAGTGTTTATTTTGGAATTTATGTAGTTAAGTGCAGAAATCCATTTTTGCATTAACTGAATAATGGAATTTCCATAATTTTAGATTAGATAGACAGACCTGGTTATACTAAAAACAGAAATGCATTTGTGTATAGATGAATGTACAGTATTGTACATTATATATGTAAGATTATCAGATTAAATGATATTTAAAATTTGTTTTTGTCTCCTCTATGTTTATATTATAGTGAAAAATTCTTATGATTTAAATAAATGTTTGCGTAATTGTTACAAGAGGAATGTTTCGTTGGAAAAACTATTATTAATTGTTGGTACGAATTTTGCAATTTAATTTAATATTATTAAACTTGTTTAAACTTGTATTTATGTATTTCATGAAATATAAATGAATGTTTGGTAATAAATTAGTTAGTTTGTTTACAGATTTGAAATAATTTAAATCTAAACTAATAATACGATATAATATGATAAATTAAATAATCAAATCTTATCCCTTTTAGGACCCTATTCAGAAAGAATATTTAAAATTTTGTATGAAAAACAATAACAAAAACTGAATAGTTTTCATATAAAATTTCCGAATTCGGGCTTAAATATATTTAGATGTCATTATTCCCGATATAACAGCTAGAGCCTTCATTCCTCTCAAGACACACTTTAGAATCAACATGAATGTTTAGCACACTAAACTAGAAATAGGGGGCGTGACACCTCCCATATCTGGGAAACTATTGTAGATGAAATCTTAAAATTTTGCACAAAGACCTTTAGCATCTATGAGAATATTTAGGGGAAAAATGTGCGAATTTTCATAAGGGGATCTTGACACCACCCATACGGATTGAATACAAAAATTCGTATATCTGAGAAATCAATATACAAACATTAAAAAATATGAAAAACAAGTAAGAAACTATAGTCGGGCGTGGCCGACCATATGATACCCTACACCAATTGCGAATATTAAAGCATTTATGTTGAATCTTACCAAATAGTGTTTGTACGGTTGCATGCTGACTAGGGGAAATTAAAATTCAATTACAATAATTTTCAACAACCTTCATCATTGGATCCAAAGAAGAGTATGTGACAAATTTTAACAAATTATATTGGAAATTGCGAGCTTTAGCGTGCACATAAGGTTTACACGGTCACAAAGACGGACATAGCTTAATCGAATCAGAAAGTGATTCTGAACCGACTGGTATACATAAGGACAAATAGGTTTGAGTGTTACATACATCGGCACATTGTGCCGATTTTTGGATATATAGTAGTATATTAGACGTAGTTAAGAGATAATAGACCCAAATTGGAAGTTCCGGTTGTATAAAATTTATTTCTGCAAAATTTCATCATATGGACATGTGGACATTCAAGTCATTTTCAGAATGTCTGTGGTTAAATGGGGCCCGATCATTACAAAAATAGACAGTGATATTTTTAATTATATCAAACTTAATTATGCTGATTTTTGGATAGATAGTAGTATATTAGACATAGTTAAAAGATAAAAGGCCCAAATCGGAAGGTCCGGTTGTATGGGGGCTAGGACAGAAATTGAGCCGATCCTTATAAAAATTATTGTCGTGAATTATGTTTACATTAAACTTATTTTTGCTAAATTTATAAGTGAGTTGTGGGCATTCAAGTCATTTTCAGAAGGGGACTTTGTAAAGGGGCTACAGTCAAATCAGGCCCGATTATTATGAAAATCGACAGTATTAGTGTATAATTATATCAAATTTATTTATAATGATTTTTGGAAATATAGTAGTATATCGAAGTTATCAGCTAAAAGACCTAAATCGGTAGGTCCGGTTGTATGGGGGCTAGGGCAGAAATTTAGCCGATCCTTATAAAATTTAATGTCGGGATTTATATTTATATAAAACTTATTTGTGCCAAATTTCATCGATATACTTGTGTTTATAAGTGAACTGTGGACGTTCAAATCATTTTCTGAATG